ACACACACACACACACACACACACACACTAGGTTGGACTTGATGGACATGTGTCTTTATTCAACCTCAAATACTATGTAACTATGTAACTACAGCCCCAATTCCAAAAAAGTTGGGATGCTGTGTAAAATCTACATAAAAACATAATGCAATGATTTACAAATTTTATAAACCCATATTTTATTCACAATAGAAAATAGAAAACATATCAAATGTTTAAACTGAGAAAATGAACCATTTGAAGAAAAAAAAAAAAAGGTAATTTTGAAAATGATGGCAGCAACACATCGCAAAAAAGTTAGGACAGGGCAACAAAAACCTGTTATAGTAAGTGGTACTAACAAGGAAGAGCTGGCAGAACATTTTGCAACTAAGTAGGGTAACTGGCAACAGGTCAGTAACCTTATTGGGTATGAAAAGAGCATCTTAGAGAGTTAGAGTGTCTCAGAAGTAAAGATGGACGGAGGCTCACCAATCTGTGAATAGCTGCGTCCAAAAATTGTCGAACAATTTCAGAATAATGTTCCTCAACGTAACATTGCAAAGACTTTAAATATGTCATCATCTACAGTACATAATATCATCAAAAAAGTCTGAGAATCTGAGGAAATCTCTCTGCGCAAGGGACAAGGCCAAAATGCAATATTGGATGCCCGTGATCTTCAGACCCTCAGACCGCACTGCAGTAAAAACAGGCATGATTCTGTGATGGACATCACTGCATGGACTCAGGAATACTAACAAAAATCACTGTCTCTGAACATTTGCATGATAGAGCTTTAATTTTGCATTTCCAAAAATGCAATTTAAAGCTCTATTATGCAAAGAAGAAGCCATATGTGAACATGATCCAGAAACGCAGCTATCTTATCTGGGCCAAAGCTCATTTACAAAGGTCTGTCGTAAGTGGAAAACTGTACTGTGGTCAGGCGATCAAAATTTGACATTCTTTTGCCAACCATGGGTGCCGCTCCTCCACACTGAAGAGGAGAGGGACCTTCTTTTCTTTTCAGCGCTCACTCAAAAGCCTGCATCTCTGATGGTATGGAGGTGCATTAGTGCATATGGAATGGGCAGCTTGCACATCTGGAAAGGCATCATCAATCCTGAAAGATATATCCAGATATATTTTAGAGCAGCAAATGCTCCCTTCCATATGACGTCTTTTTCAGGGAAGGCTTTGCATATTTTGCAGTCTAGACCATTCACCGATCGAAAATATTTGGCACATCTTAAAATGAAAATATGACATAGAATACCCAGGATTGTTGAGCAGTTAGAATCCTATATCGGGCAAGAATG